GAAGCAGCAGAGGAATAAATTCCAGTAGCAAGACGCACAAGGGAGGTGTCCCGGCGGATGCTCTACGATTTTGAGAAATTGGTGGAAAAGGATGAAATTTGCGAAAGAGCTAGTGATCTCCCAACGAGGACGTTTACCAAAGATATTTGCATCCGAAGATCAGAAAATGGGCCCTGAGGTTTAGAATTTTTTTCCGCTTTCCAAATTTAGAGGAGAGAACGAGCTGAAGATTTTGAAACTTTGAAATTTTTCGATTTCACCTTCTTTTGATGCAAATATCCCTGCCAAACAAACGTATCCGTTGCAGAATGCATATATACTTGCATGTGAGGAGGAGACAAAGCGAAATAAATTAAGAAAGCGTCAAATTTGTCGACTTTAGGATGCACTTTCACCTCTTTGGATGCAAGTATCTCTGCCAAACGTGCTCATTGGGAGATCGTGTCTTTCGCTAATTTCATACTAATTAAATTTCTGACCGATTGAGACTAAATTGCTCAAAATCTGAGAGCATCCCCTGAGAGGCCTCCATTGTCCGTTTGGTTCGATTCCATCTCAATCTTTCCCTGGATTCCTGCTGGAGCTTTTTGGAGAGATGCAGTTAAAGCAAAAGGGGAAAGAAAGAAAGGGAAGGAGGAAGGAAGTCGTCGGAAAGATTGCGGTCAATGCGAGAATGATTGAGATGAAATTTAATAACAAGACCGAAATGTGATAGATATACAATACACAAGTGTTTTTGGTGTCTAGATTTTTATCGAGATGCAGATCAATTCTGGTTTTTGAAAGATTTTAAAACGGAAATTGAATAAAAAGTGGTGTGGTTTGTAAAACCGTGTTTGCTGTACATTGTTAGCCATCTGAAATAGTCAGACAAGGTATTAAAGTTGCTACCGCCTGGTATTAAAATTATATTGGACTGTAAATATTTGCTAGCGAAATGGTAAAAACTTAACATTGAGCTGTTACTACACGGTATTAGATACATATAAATGTGCACAACTTTGGTAAAGTTGTGTATGATACTATTTGGTATTAATTTAATGTTGGATTTCTAAGAGTGCACCTGCTCAGATATTTATTGATAAATATCGAGATCGATATGATTTTAGAAGTGAAATTAAGCGAAAGGTTCGCACGGTTTTGAGAATAAACAATATTTTGTATGCATAGTTTGGGTTGAAAGCACTCAAATCCGTCAATCTGCTCACCACGAAAAAAAGGTTTTGTTTATTGCCATCGGCTTTCACTCTCGCGTTTTGGTGCAGATTTGAGAAAACATTTATTTAGGATGAAGAAAAGAGTTAAATTGCCGTGTTTGTTGGCAGGGCTTCTGCATCCACGTATGTGCTGTTCTTGCCATCCTTTCTTATTCGCTGTGTGTATCAAGGTAGCCCGACACAGGGTTTTATCGGTTCTTTTTTGGGTTTAATTGGGTTTAATAGGTTGTAAATGGATAAACCCGGTTGAGTTTTACCAGGTTAAGTGAGGTTTATTTTGGTTTTAATGGGTTTCATTTGGAGTTTTAATGGATTTTACCTGTGTTTTGGTTGCTTTAATTTGTATTCTGTTGGGTTTTTATGAGTTTACCTGGGTTTTAACTGGGGTTTCCCTTAAAACTTCATTCTAAAAGTTGAAAATATCGTGTATATAATTGAAACTAGATTTGCAATAGTTGCGAAAAAATTTAATTGGATGCATTACTTTATTACTGCACTCTAAGAAACCCGGTAACTAAGTTATTACCAGGCGGAGTATCTATGTGACTCTACCGCATGGTAATTTATTTAGTATTGAGTGGTAGATATTTTGTTACCAAACCGGTAATAACCCCGGTCACGAAATTTGAAAATATTACCAGTTGGTAGGTAATTTTCTACCACTCAGTAATAAATTAATTACCATGCGGTGGAGTCACATAGATACTCCGACTGGTAATAACTTTGTTACCAGGTTTCTTAGAGTGTGTAATACCCATTAAAATTAATTAAAAATTAACACCCGTCCGAAATTTTTCTTATTAAACGCCGAGTTTTTGGGAACCCTGGTTGCCCGTATTTTATTTTTGGATTGTGCAGCTCCTTTCAGTCTTTTTGGAGAAAGTGTGAGATGACAGTTTGTCAGGGAGAGCTCAACTGAAAATGTCACGAAGCAAGGAGAATCTCACTTTGGTGGGGGAAGGAGAGAATGGGATTTACGAGGAGAAGATCAATCTCTGTCTCAAATTGTAAAGTTGAATTGTTATTCTTCTCCTTCTCAGATTTATAGTCGCTCAACGTCCAATCCTCACTCAGACGGACGGACAGACAGACAGACACGATTTGAAGGATGGACGACGAAAAGGATAATATGATTCGTGTCATTGTGCTGAGCTAGTAATGACTGAAGAGGAGATATTTACTTTCCATTTCGTCCCCCAATTTTGATGCTAGTCCGTCATCATTTGCATTTCTATTTTGATGGAATGTACATATATTAAAATAGAGATTATCGTTGGGCAAAAATTTACTAGAGAATTTTTAAAATTACGTAATTTAGTAAAAAAAAATTTGTATTTTTCTACGCATGTCTAGATGAATTGCGCCGATGGTATTAGAAATATTGAGAATTAAAGGAAACCTTTTCCTCATTTTTGCACTAAAATTTCCATGTAATCGAAATATTAAAAATTACATATAGAAAGTGACGATTAGTGGAAAATGTGAAGCACTTCATAGTTTAGGTGGTTTTCGAGAAATTCATAACAATTCAACGATTTATAACAGTTCATGGATTCCTAAGTAACTTTGTAGAATCCGTAAATTTTAAAGGGGTCCTTAAATCTGTCAACTTTAGGACCCGTTTTCCCCTCTTTGGATGCAAATATCTCAGCAAGATAGTGCCTCTTGCAAATTTCACATAAATTAAATTTGTGATAGATTGACACTAATTCGCTCAAAATCGAGGAGCATACGCTGTGAGGTCTCCATTGTTAGTTGTGAAATACGAAAAATTCTGCAAGTCTTCAATCCTCGCTTAAATGGAGCAGATGGGGGAAATGTTTATATTGATATTTATCTTTGTCTCCCTTTTGGCATCCATTAGCCACCCAGAGCAGACAGAGAGGCAAACAAGGCAGGAATTTGCATCATCCGCAGTCTGGCTAAAAAGGCGGAAAATAAATATAAATCTAATCTGCCTGCTAATGTTTGCTGGGCGAAGAGTTAAGTGACGTGGTGAGGGAAAAGTACTTGTCACTCTCAGCCCGTCCGTGGTCTGGTCAAATCCAATCTTGTCTAGAAAAGAGAGCAAAGTGACCTGTAAAAGTTGGGCTGTCCGAGTATCTGCTAAAAGTAGGGATGCACCTTGTAACTACCCGGTACTCGGAGTACTCTTTTGGAATACCCGGATTCGAAAGTACCCGGTTTACCTGGCCTCTTAATTAACAGATATGGACATGTGCAATTTTACATACTTGAAATTCAAGTCTCCTCTTTGGCTTCCTCCGTGCACAACGTATCTCTCTCTCGCTCTGCATCTGGATCCTCTTCCATCTGGGTCGCGGGTGTTCCAGGGCAAGTAAAGTGTGTCCTAAAGGCTTTTCGCCACGTGAGCCTCGTCCACTCACACCCCCCACCTGCGTGCCTAGTGACACCCCCTGCCACACCCGTCCCAGCAACGACAAGCTGAGCCATCAGGCGAAGATGGATTCGCCGGACCCAGTGCACGGGAGGATCTACGCCTTGGAGGGACTCCCCAGGTAGGTTTTTGTTTGGTATATCGGGGTGGTGACCGTGGGGAGTGGTTGTTTGAAAAGTGGCGGAGGGGGTCGTGCATGACGGGGGCGGCATGGTCAGGTCTACGGGGGTCCCATGACCTGATTGTGTTGTGATGGGGGAAGGGGCAAGTGGGGGTGTCGTCGGCCCCGGCTACGGCTACCATGGGGGACGTGGGCAAGATCCCGCGGTCCGTGGACAGCCCCCGCCCAACAACCTTCACCTGTCTACTTCCGCATGCAGACGCCACCCTCATTTGGATATCACCACCACCACGGAATCCGCCTATGTATCACTGCCATACATTTTCCTACCTGGTGTCCAGCAGTTATGGGCCGAATGGTGTATTGGGCCACATTCCCAATACATGTAGAGGTTTTCCGAGACCATCTCCGGTTTTCCCTCTACACCCTTACTGCTAATATCTATCTAAATGTTTTGTATGAAATGAAAATGATGATTGTAAAAGCTAATGCTACATCAATCTTGAATAAATACCTACCTACCTACCTACCTACATACTTGAAATTCAAAAATTTTTTAAAAAATTTTCCGATTTCATTTTTGTGCCTGGTATAAAAGAAAATATTTATTTGGAAGGAATGGGTACAAATCTGATTTGGAATTTATCGCCCACACTTTAAAATTGCATTATCTATACCACAAATTTTGTTATCTATGTATGTAATGTCAACTTGAAATTTTTATAAACTTAGCAAATTTCGCAAACTTTAGGAAAAATTAGAAAATTGGCTTACTATTAACACATTAACCCTTTAACGTGTATGATTAACGACAAGAAAATGCATTAAATCGGAGACACTATAAGTATCTATGTTGTGGTCATGGCGCGGGAGGAGAAATTCAGGAGTTTTTCATAAAACTCGAAAAACTGAAAAATCAAAAATTTAACATTGCGTTGTATATGGAAATATCCAAATTTTTGGGAAGAAAATCTTAGAAACAAATTTTAGAACGCGGAGAGAAAATGGTGAAAATCAATGACCTCCTAGAAACGACAATTGTCTTCCTTCCGCTCCATGACCACGATTTTTCAGGAAGACTTTTGTCGTACTCCCGAATTAAACTATTTCTTATAAAACGACTATTGTCGTCGTTACAGTTTAAAGGGTTAATACCTGGCAAACATGTCATCCCGGGTAGTTGGGTACAGAGTTTTACCCTACCCGGGCATCTCTGGCTGAAAGTATTGGATCACTAAACACAGAGAGCGAGAGAGAGAGAAATGTCGGAACGAGTGAGGCATGACGACGCGTCGAAAGGACACCGAACCATGAAAGCTTACAAAATATGGATTTGACTGAAATTTGTTGTACTAAAATTGGAAACTCTGGTGCTGGTCAGTCTTTACTTTTTTGTTAATTTGACTAGCCGGAAAATAATGTGTTGTGTTTATGATGCAATCAAGCAGAACTGGACGTTCGTGGCTGACAGGCTGGAGAGAAAGTTTTCGACTGACGCAAACCACAACTTTGGATTGGCTAAAATAAAATCAGAGGACGCATATGCATTTTTTAAATTATATTACCACCGAGATCGGTCTGTTTGCAGCTCGCATAGAGCACAGAAATTTCAAAATATATTTTTACATATTGGCACAAATTTCTAGGTTTTCAGATATAAATATTCAGTGATATTTTGACAACTATTTGAAAAATACGTAAATATTATACATATTTTTTGAAAAATACGCACATATTTTGTAAATATTTCAACAATGCGTGCTGAAAGATATTCGACTACATAAAATCCGGAGGAGTATATTAAGAAATATAAATTTTTTTGGTAAAGTCATTATTTTTTTGTTACTTTTTTTAGTCCATATTTCGTAAATATGTTGGCGTTTTGTTTCTAAATACATATCCGCCCTCTGCAAATTTGCCTGCCTTGGATAGAGATGCTTTCTCTCTCTCACTCGAGTGAAAGTGGGACATGTCCATCTGTTCGTTTCGATGTGGTGTTTGTCGCTGACAGTTTAGTTTAGTGCTTTGTATTAAAAACCGAGTGAAATTTTGAGGCTGTGGAGATTTTAATTTAGCATTGTTTCACACTTCACAATTTTGTGACGTGTCAGTCAAATCTTTCATTTGTCCATTAAGCGAGTGAAAGCAAAGTAAATACGTTGGAGGAGGAGGAGGAAATTATGACGCGAAAAGGCCGTTGCTCTTTTGGATATTGCTTTCATCCCATACACTCAAAATAAGGTGGTAATGAATCATTACCATGCGGAATGACTATATGGCTCTACCACATCGGTTACGATTTGTCGTAGAAATGGTAATAACAAATTCAGGGAAATTCAAATTTAATACATAATGGTATTAACTTCCTTAATATTTGGTAATGAATTTGAATTTCCCTGAACTTATTATTACCATTTCTACGACAAATCGTAACCGACGTGGTAGAGCCACATAGTCATACCGCATGGTAATGATTCATTACTACCTTATTTTGAGTGTGGCGAAAAGGCCGTTGCTCTTTGGGATGTTGCTTTCATCCCATAATCATCACTTTCACTCGAGCAAACAGAGCCTCGACGGGGCTACTGACTGGGCAGCAGCCCTAGTAAACACGGACGGCGTGGGTATGAAGCAAATTACGCGAAATATGAGATGACTTTTCTTATTACGATAAGATGGGAAAACTGAGCTGCTTTTTTTCTCTCTTCTTCTTTTTGGTGTCGTCTTACTATCGAAAGCAATTTGCTTTCAGTAGTCGTCACCCAAGTGTGAAAGGAGAAGGACAGTGGGAGATGAGATCTGTAGGGTTTCGCGGTGGGTTTAACCACCGTCGAAAACCGATTTTTACCAATTTTGGACAGGGAATTTGGGAAGTTCAAAATTTTCCAAAATAAGAAATAGTGTAAAATGTTATGTTATAAGTTCGTCTTTATTGAATGTCTCGATATTCTGCTAACGTTTGTGTAATCTCTTCTTAATTTTTAACGTTTAGTGCGTAATACGACCTGGTTTAGGAAATTTCTTAATTTCTCACAAGAAAGCATGTTAAAATAAAATATTTTCCAAATTTCCTGGTTTTATACATCATCTTGAATGCCCAAAAATAAGGGGAGATTAAGATTAAGATTTGCAAAAAAGTTGCTAATAAAGAATTAGTAACATTTTGCCCTATTTTTCAATGTTGGACGGTTTCGGACATTTTGGTTCTAACGTTTAAAAATGTTTTTTAGATTTTCGACAGTTTTGGGCGCTTTTAACGGTGTCCAGTGAGTCCAAAAGTTGTTTTGAACGTGTAAAACGAAAAATTGATGAGATGAGGGAGTAAAACAAAATCGTGGTATTTTTTTCTCCAATTTTTGTACTCTTTAAAGCCTCGTGTAAGGCCAACAACGTGTGTCGGAATAAAGCTGCTTGGCTGGACTGGTAGGATTTCCTTCCTTCCGTTATTCCGGTTGAACTGGTGCCAGGTGTTTGGTCGGGGGTTTCTCTGTTGCCATCATAATTACGGAGATCAAGAGCGGGGATTTATCGATTCTGGGTACATACGTAAGAGAGACCGACCGGGAGTAGGTACGATACGGGGCAGAGAAATACAATCTAACGCTTCAATTACTTCCATTCTCCGGTATTTCGTTCGTCTGAATGTGACTGGACACGCACCCACCCCGGCCAAAGGAAAAGTGTGCACAGGAAGTTTTTATTTTGTGCGGGGGAAACGATGTAAAGTTTATTGAGGGAGAAAGAGACCCTTTATGAGATGGTCACGTCCGTCAGTTTGTCCGGCCGTCCATCTGTCTGTCCGCCCGTCCGTCTGTCTGTCTCTATTTTGCTCTGATGACTCATGAACTCAAGGGTATAGAGACTATAGGGTAAAATTTGAAATTAAGATCAAGGGTCAGACCTAATGGGAAAATTGACATTGTAGGTCATAATGTCACAGCGCAAGGTCATAGGTCATGATTTTCTTATACATTATGTGAGGATTCAAATCCATATATTTTCCAAGAGCTGTCCAGCGAAATAAGGTATTTTGACCTGCGACACCCAAGCGACCGTGTGGATGAGGTCAAAGGTCACAAATGCCGAAAATGCTTCAGACGTGTCAATTTTTAACAGGTTGTCGGCAGGCAAAAACAATACGATATTTATTTTGACGTAGATATGAAAAATTGGTTTCGCCTCTTTGTTACGTGCGCTGTAAGGCTTTATTTTGGTTTGATTCGACCCGATTGTGGAGAGGAAGGAATTGAGCCGAGGTAAACGTGGGGGTGGAGATTGGTATAAAAAAGTTTAAAAAAAATTGATGTAATCATGAAAGAAAATACCGTAAAAATATTTTGTAATGATTTGTGTCTACAAAATTTTTTGTTTATGAAAGTGAGTAAAAGTTGACATGAAAATAAGACTGGAAATTATGTATGAACAAACATGACGTAGTAAAACACTAAAATTTATCGACATATTTTTTATGGCGGAGAAATAGGGAAAAATAATAGGATAGAGAAAGTCCAGCCAGAAATGGTTACGTAGATAAACAGAGGGCGGCTATGTATTTATCAAAAGTCGGTGAAATATATATTTAATGTTTACGAAAGAAACGCCAAAATATGCACGAAATATGTACCAAAAACACTGAAAATATACATTTTCACACAATTTTAATAAATGTAAATATAATGTTTTAGATTTTTTGTGGTCGAATTTATTTAGGCAAAAAAATTTGTCTCATATCGTTGAAATATTTACAAAATTGATGTTTAAAAAAATTGACAGTTTTACGTATTTTCAAAAATTACGGAAGTTAGAAAAATATTTTGAGATGTTTGAAAACCTAGAAATTTGTGTCAATAGTTTGAAATTTTTTGAAATTTTTGTCATCTATGAGAGTTAACCGACAGAGTTTGACCGTCGTTCGTTGTTAAATGAAAAAGTTGGAAATAAATACATAACCACGCTCTGGTAATAAAGTGTGTATTTATACGGGTAGGAAACAATGTGGGGAATTATTATTTTGACATTTTTATTATATCTTTACGAGGGAAAAAATCCGCAAATCGTGAGGTAAATAAGTTATAAATCTGCCATCACAAATAATCCATGCTTCATAAAGTAGTTAACTTACTCCTGGGACGAGAAAGTCAATAAAGGAACGGAACGGAAAGCCATTGTTTTGGGGGAAGAGTGACGCCCAAACATGGGAAAACTGGGACTATAATAATTCATTGCAAATAAGGTCGCGATTTTGCTACATTTCGGAAAAAGTAGTATTATTTTTTATTAAGTGTAACGCCAATGATGAAATTTATGTAAAATCAAACTTTCTTTAATAGAAGTCAGGTCAGGTCTTTATAATCAGCAAAACGGAATAAGTAATATTTTAGAGGAATACAAACTAAAATGCGAAATTTAACCGTTGGAAATTAAATAAGAATAATTTTTTTAATGTAGGACTCGATTACTTATCGGTAAAATTTTTAAAATCAGAATACTTTCAGTTGTTTCTCTGTTTGGGGAATTTATTTTAAAAATTCTGGACAAAATTTATAGAGCAGGATGTTTCCAATTTTTTAAAGAAATATACACTACAGATTTTGACACTTTTTGGCGGACGAGATTTTCAAGAAGCCTTCAGAAAAATTGTAGTTCATCGAAACTTCTTAAAAAAACTCAGCGCCATTCCATTAATCAATTCACTGATAAACCAATTTTAAAATAAATTTCCAGAGGCAAGGAGTAATTAAAAAGTGGTGATTTTGACGATTTTAGCGATTACTCATCGAATAAAATTACTATTTTAGTGGGAAATGATTTTCTACCAGTGATTCCTAATTTTTTGGAGAAAGTCGTCAGCTTTGACGGTAATTAGAGCTTGTCATTTCGGACATTGTTCCCTCCTCCCACTCGAATTTGACCTTGGTCCTCCACCAGGAAGGAAATTAGTCAATTATGCTCCACCAATGTGAACATCTCAGAAGAAGGAGGGAGACAGAATTGAGCACCCCGCTAAACAGTGGCCGCGGAAGCCGTGGGGACAACGGGGGACATAGCATTGTAGAATGAGAAAGTGAGGGGTTTGCAGTAATGGAAATATGTAATAACCTTGCACTCAAAATAAGGTAGTAATGAATCATTACCATGCGGAATGACTATGTGTGGGATTTTTGGTAGTTGTAATACGCGAAAGAGAGCAAAAATATGTTTTGAAGAGTGGTGCGAGGAATCGAACCCCGCGTCTCCCGTTTCCCGGACGGACACCTTTACCACTAGGCTAACCGCCCTTCTTCACATCTATCACTCTCTTTTACAACTACCAAATTCCACGTATTCTCTCCTACATATGTGGCTCTACCACGTCGGTTAAGGTTTGTCGTAGAAATGGTAATAATAAGTTCAGGGAAATTCAAATTCATTACCAAATATTAAGGAAGTGAATACCATTATGTATTAAATTTGAATTTCCCTGAACTTAGTATTAACATTTCTACTACAAATTGTAACCGACGTGGTAGAGCCACATAGTCATTCCCCATGGTAATGATTCATTACTACCTTATTTTGAGTGTGGGGACATTATCCCCCTGTCCTGTCGCCACGATTCCGCAGCCACTGTCCAAGAAGTAGAAGAGGAAGTAGTGGGGA